TAATTTCATACCATTAAGCAGCATCAGAAGCAATCAGGGGTCTGGATTCATATTCAGAAGTCCTCAATCAAGGAAAATTTAATTTTCTAGCAAAAAGAGTTCCACATACTCTATATGTAAGGGTTCAACCCTGAAAATACAATACTTAGGTACCTTACGTAACAATAAATTGGTGGTACTTCACAGAAAAATGAGCCAAGATCAGTCAGTCTGTTTAAGAAAACATTTTATGCACTAGAGAATATACACAGACTCCAATCATCTGTTAACACAGATTTGCTCTGGAACAGCCCAACCAAAGTAGACCCACAAATACAGATACAAGGAGTTTCTCCTATGTAGCTGAAAAATATAGGCAACATTTCTCTAAAGTTTTACAGAATCCATTTAACAATTGTGCGTACACGTCCAACAAGTTATTGATGAAACAGATATTGATTTTCAGTGATGTGCTGAACAAATAGTCACTGTTTAGTAACACACTTTACCTTCCTTAGCTTCTTGTCACTTCAGTGCATGCTCTAAGTCTAAGGTCTGTCCCAGTCTTTAAAATATTAACCACCACATGTCTAAAATAATTTTACCTGGCACTTACTGTACTGAATCAAAAGGGAAAACACAAAGATAGAACTTTTTAATGTAGAATAAAAAGATTAGTCAAGATACTTAAATGACTGAAATAGTAAAAATTACATGAAGGGAGGGGGGCCAATACAGTGATTAGTTTTATTATTTATTTTACAGTAGTGACAACTATCATATTTTGCTATACTTGGAACTAAAAATAGAAAGAGATTACCTATAGTCTGACTCAACATGAAATAATACAGTCCATGGAAGCAATGAGATAACACTGTCCTGGCTAAGCAATAGGGTCAGAATATGAACACCATTTCATGTAGAAGTTTCGGTAGGCAACTTGTAAAAGGATAATCTCTTATGTCTTTCATAAGAAAGTGAAAATTTGGAAGGCAGTTCAATAAAGGGGCACTTAGAGATTCCCACACAGTGCCCTTCTTTAACAAGTAGAGGAAAATGAAATCATTGGTAAAATGCATGGGATGCCAGTTCTTAAAGTGTTAAAGGGGAGGCCTCTACAAAACTTAAATACAGCATATCCAACTTCTGTTTTAGAACAAAGTGGTCAACTACTGTAAAAACTCAGAATTTACCTAGAAATGGCAAGAAATAATAGGGTGAAGAGGTATGACAGTGCTGCATTAGAGTATGAAATTTGGCAGAAACTAACCCCCCTTGCATTCCAGCTAGTCCTCAGAGATCAGAGGGGCTGGGTGCAGCTAGGCTGAATTTCTGAGTATAACCAATGTAGCACTATAAGTCTAATCCTGTTCGATAAGAACTTTCACAATCACAAAGTCACAACCGGTGTGGTTTATTGAAGCAACAGAAATAAAGATTTGGAATAGCCATTGATAAATATACTTCCTGCATTAGTGCTAAATATATTAAGGCTAGCCAATGATTATTAAGCTAAGTTAACAATTCAAACCAAACTAACAAATTCAGCTTTTCACTAAGCTTAACTTCACTGTTAATTAGCTTGGTTTCATCCAGGTGTGCTCTGACACAGTCAGAGATGCAAATCTTACCAGAGTCTTTCCTGCTTGTTCATGAACTGTGGTCATATTTTCATCCTCTACACGAAGGATTCCAGATATCAGTTTTAATCTTTTGGATAAATGGAAGTGGGACTGTAGTCAAATATAATTGGTAAAATGTTGTCATCATAGACAAAGGGGTAGCCTCTTTCTCATTTTCGTATTGATGGGTGCATTTTTTCATGTGTAAAGGAAGGACAATGACAGTTTTGGTTACCTTTGGTCAAGCTGAGCTATAGGACTTAGAGTTGAATCAAAGGCAGAATAGAACCATGACACTTCAGTATCACTTGCTGCTCCACACAGCTGAGGCAGCTGTAAAAACTGTCTGACCTCTGCCTGATAGTCTAATCCCATCAGCATGTTAAAACTGCACCTCACTATCTCCTCAAAGGACTAGATTTATACTTCCAACAAATACACTGGTTTGTGAAAGCCTACTACAGAAAGTTGTGCAGGGATCTCTCCTGTGTATGTAGTAAACAGCCTGTGTAATTAAATGCTGCTAAATCACAGGGGGAAAACAGCACATTAGGTACATAATGGCAGATGCTAAACTGTCTATCCTTTCCCAGGAAAGCTGAGTCATTCTGGAGAGTGCTCAGAACTTTAGTAAATGCTCAGCAGTGGTTAAAAAGGCGAATACAAGTGTTAGGAAAAATTATGAAACAGAAGAAAACAGTACACCGGGATACAAAATTAATGATACAACTGTAATACTGCACACCATCCTGGTCGCTCCATGTAGAAGAAAACATAGAGGAGATTGAAAAGAGATTAAATGTATGATGAAAGAAGGAATGGAAGAAAGAGATAGCAAAGAACACAAAATTATGGGCAAAATAAAAGATGTGTGAGATGTTATCATAATTTTTTATAAGCAGGGGAGATAAAAAATTACACTGAGAAAAGGGATAGGGTTGGTTTATTGTTTTGGGGCTTTTTTTAAAGGGAATGTTATTTCAAAAAACAAATTTAAACATTCCCACAAAGTGTTTTGAATGCCAAAATCAAAATGTGCTAAAGCAACAATTAGACTAATTAATTGAAAATAAGCCCAGCAAGTAGTATCAGAAGCAATGATGTGAGTTCAACCCAGGCTACAGGAATCTGAGACAAAATACTATAAATTTGACCTATTCTTGTACTCTTTTAACAAGCATCAACTACACTACAGTCAGAGGAATACAGGACTGGAGTGACTCCTGTTTTGACTCAGTATTGGCACAAGAGTGAAAGTAACCATGGGGGAATTCACAGAATAGATCATATCAAAGTTTTTGATCTTTTTTTTTTTAATGTCTGGGAAAAAAACATTAAAAGCATTAAAAAACCATTAAAAAGCATTAAAAGCTTTGGCTGTAGTCACATGAAAATAGGTATGGCCATAAGCAAAATTTAGGTACGAAGCATCATCAACATGCAAATGTCTACCCCTACACCATATTTGGGAAAATGAGGAGAGGAAGAAGGAGAGAAGCAAGAATCAAAATCAGGAGGCAGGAAGAGGAGCTGGGAGATGGCAAGTTATAGCATTAAAGGAGACAAAAGGAAAAGAGAGATGAAAATGTCTCAAAGAGGAACGACAAATGAGAATGAGCTGATTCTGTCTCGTTAGTAGTAAAGGAGTACGACACAGAAACAGAGACCTGAATTTTTTCATCTGATATTGCCTCTGCAAAAAGGCAGGAGCTGGAGGGAATTAGATTAAGACAACATATAGAGCTATGATCTTCTCAGAGAATATCGACTGCAAAAGGCAGGCAAGGGAGATAAGAAAGCAAGCATTAGATGAGGTTAAGAAGGAAGGCACATAAGGTGAAAACAATGCCTTGCAATAAGCTGTATTTTCAGGCAGAAATAAATGCCCACAGAATCACGGAATTGCCCAAGTTAGAAGGGACCTTGAAAGATTCTCTGGTCCAACCTTCTGTGGGAAAAAGAGATTATCTAGCACCCTGTCTAAGTACTCTTGAAAACCTCCAGCAATGAGAATTCTACCATGTCCTGGGGAGGTTCTTTCAATGAACAGTTGATCTTACTATCAACACTTTTTTTCTTTTGTCAAGATGAAACCTCTGCTGTAAAACTTGTTCCCATTTGCCCTTGTCTTTGCCATCTGGCTCCTTGTGGAAGGACCCCAGTCCTCAAGTATCCCACCCCCCAGATTAAGGAGAAATTCTGAAAGCATGAACAAAAAGCTGAACTGGTTACACACTGAAAGTGCTCTCTTTAAGGCTAGAAAACCCAGCTTCAAGAGCTAACCATGAGTACCTCCATCAAAAAATGAATGAAAAAAACCCCACTCTGTTTTTAAAACACTGCAGAGGCACCCTTGGGCTGTGCCTGCTCCCCTTGCCCGTGGCTGACAACCATGGGAGAGGTGGGATGGGGAGCAATTTAGGGAAGTGATTTTTCCCCTGCATTTGGCACCAGTGAGGCCACACCTAAAGTACTGTGTTCAGTTCCAGGCCCCTCAGTTCAGGAAGCACATTGAGGTGTTGGGGTGAGTCCGGAGAAGGGCAATGAAGCAGGTGAAGTGTCTAGAGCACAAGTCTATGAGGAGCTGCTGAGGGAGCTGGGCTTGTTTATTCCGGAGAAAAGAAGACTCAGGGGTGGCCTTAGTGCTCTCTAGAACAACCTGAAAGGAGGTTGTAGTCAGGTGGGAGTCAGTCTCTTCTCCCAAGTAACAAGAGGGCATAGTCTTAAACTGCACCAGGGGAGGTTTAGATTGGACATAAGGAAGAATTTCTTCACAGAAAGGTTGGTTAGACACTGGAATGGTCTGCCCAGGGAGGTGGTGGAGTCACCGTCCTTAGAGGTGTTTAAAGAAGGACTGCATATGGCACTTAGTGCCGTGGTCTAGTTGACATGGTGGTGTTCGGTCATAGGTTGGACTCGATGATCTCAGAGGTCTTTTCCAACCTAACTGATTCTGTGATTATGTGAGTCATAGAATCATAGAATCAGCCGGCTTGGAAAGGACCTCTGAGATCATCAAGTCCACCCCTTGATCCACTACCGCCGTGGTTACTAGACCATGGCACTAAGCGCTACATCGTCAGGCGCCCGCCCCTCACACAGCTCCGGCCCCCCCTCACCGACTCCCCCCCTTCCCCCGCCCGCCCCCCACGGCACCCGCCAGCCCCACCCAGCCCCGCGCGCCGGAGCACGCGCAGTGCAGCCCCGGGCGGGCGGCCGCTGCCAGGGTGGGCGGGCGTGGCCTGGTCGCGGTGGGCGTGGCCAAAGCATCTGTCAGAGCGGCTGGGCGTGGCCAGATGCGCGGGGGGGGGCGTAACCAGACATGGGGGCGTGTCCTGCGGGCGCGGCGGGGTCAGGGGGGCGGGGGAAGCGGCCGGGCGGGTGGGGAGCTGCCGGCGGGGACAGGGTGGGCTAGGAGAGGTGCTGCTGCCGCTGCCGCCGGTGGTGGCACCGGGAGGGCACCGGCCATGGACGCCACCACGCTGGAGCTGGACGCGGTGAAGTTCGCGCAGCTGGCGGTGCAGCGGGACCAGAGCGGGCGCTACCAGGAAGCGGTCTTCTACTACAAGGTACGGCGGGTGGGGGCCGCTTCCCTCGGGGCGCCAGTGCCCCCGTCCCCTCACCGCGCTGATGCTCCGGAGCTACCGGAGGGTTCGCACTTCCCCCCAGCCAGCGGAGGGCCGGGGCAGGGAGGGAGGGGCGGCCGGCGCGGCCCGGCGCGGCCCGGCCCGGTCCTGCCGGCGGAGAGGGCGCGCTGGGTCAGCCCGGGGTGTGTGCCCGGGGACGGCCCGCTCGGCCCGGGGAAGGCGAGGCGGTGCCCGCCGGGAGGAGAGCGGAAGGCCGGCCGTGCGCCTCCAAAGTTTGTCCGTCAGTCTCCGAAGGAGCCGCGTCCCTCAGGGCGGGTTGCGAAATGCCTTTTCCCTGCGTCTGGTTTTCAGGTGGGAACGAGCGCTGCCCCTGCGCTGCTGTTTAGGGGTGGCACCGCAGGTGCTGTACTGGATAAGTGGGTGCCGGCGCTTCTTCCAGCTACTGGAAGCACAGCCCCCTCGGTGCTTCTCGGAAGCTTCGTCGTAACCTAAAAACGTCTCTGCCTCGCTACTTCTACGCTTTCGTTCCTGGCCTCTCCCCCACCCCCGCCAGGCCGGAAAGGCTGATCAGTTTTATGCTGGAGATGTAAGCGCTGGGCATTTTGGAGAACCGCAGGTCGGCAATGCTGCTGCTCTTGAGTGTGCTGCTGGAAACAACTCTATTGTACAATTGGTCATCAAAAAAAAAAAAGTCTATGGTGAAATACAAGATGCTCAGCAGTAAGACAGCTTCAGATCATAAGCTGTCAGTGATGTGTTTTTAACCACGTATGAATATTCTTAACCATTAGGGACCAGATTTTATTATTTGAGTACGGCTTCAGGTTGGTGTAACCGAGGGTGTAATGAGGTTGATTCAGTGTCTTGCTCAATATCTATAGACTTACTACTGGTATTTAGTAAATCTTGTGCAACTATTATGTATTTTTCACCTGTGTAAGTTGTCTCATTTTGTTGGGTTTATGTTTTGCATAGTTACATTAAAGTTCCATATCCCACTGGCTTTACTTCTCACCTGCAAGGAGGGATTTTTTTTAAGGCCATGTTTATCCTTGTCACTTTAATCGTTCCGCAAATTCCATTATTCTGCCAAAGTAATTCTTTTCCATTAACTTGCTAAAGGCTTGGTAGCTGGCCTTTTGCTTCATGAGTGTTAGGTGTCTATGAAATGTTTAAAAAGCGTAGTAATATTATTATGGTGGCCTGTGCGTGCAAGTGTGAAGGGATAGGAAGGGAAGTATCTTTTTTTTTTTTAGCCTGGTTGTTAATGTAGTGTGAGTTAAGTTTATATATGTAAAGCATATGTATGCAAAAGTCATAGTTACCCATAATAACACTGATAAACTCTGTACTTACCAGCAGCAGTGTGTGTGCGTGGTCTGATATCCATGCCCAGTATTGCTTCAGTACCGTATATTTCTGCATATATCTGAAAGAAATTATTCACTGCTCTACATAATAAAAACATCTCTTTGTGCAAGTAATCACCCTCGTACGCTTTTGAGCAGTGTGTGGAAAATCTTTTTCAGTTGCTGCATATGGGTAGTGTTCTTGCTAAGTGCAAAAACGCATTCCTGGCAATCTTGGTGCACTTGAAGCTTACACATGACAAAGAGTGTAACCTGGGTAGTGTTTTCTGGCGTGCAAAAGCTGTGCCAGAGAGCAGCACAGTCACATATTTGACCCTGTTATAGCTTTGAATCACAACTGCAGGTAAGGTTTCTGCTGTTCAGACAGGTGCCTCTTGGCAGTCCAACACTAGATATTGACGCTTGTGTCAGATTATATGCAAAGGTGTAGGTGTTCAATCCTGTTGTGATCAGGAGGAGTGAGAGCAAACTCAGCAGACAGTATTAAAGCGGAATTCTTTGTGTATATTTCAGCTGAGATAGGTTTGGCTTTCTGGATATTGCCTGAAGAATCATTGCCATATTAGATTAAACAAAAGTAGTTAGAAAATATCATCTAGTATTTTGGGGCCCTTCATGCTTTTCTTTTTGGACAATGCAAGTAAGCTCTGACCCATCACTAACTGTCTTATCAACTGATTTAAGCAGTTCAGAGCCCACTGGTGTAAGCATGTGGGAAAGCCTAGATGTTGAACTGGCTTCTGCGAGAAAGTGACCTTAAGGATGAAACATGGAAAATGCTACACTTGTTGCCCATAGACAACAGCGAAACAGACTGGTCTGAATGGAATTTCTATGGCTTGCAGGTGCTGTTCACTTCCTGCTGCCACTTAACTTTGATAGATCCCTAGAGGAGGGCTGCATGTGAACCAGCCTAGGGGCAGCTTGCTAGTTGTGCTCTGCAGAAATGTCAAGATCGTTTTTGGATACCCAATGACCTCAGCAAAGCTGCTAAAGGCTGTTGCTAAGTTTGAGTGTTGACCAGCAGTTAGCATCTTGCAGACTGACAATGAGTAGTTAGCTTAGTGTGGCTGTGGCACACTACTCATGACAAAGAACAATAACGATAGTGAAGAGATCATAAATGCTAACTCTGAATTGCATGTCCATCTGGTCACTGGAAACAGCTGGGGGGCTGGCTCTGCAGGTCAACTTCTTTAGTCCTTTGGAGGCTTAATTTATAAAAGACTGTTTTCGTTATGTTTACCTCTTAAAACCAGGCAAAACAGTTGTTCCTGAAGGTACAGAAGCAACATCAGTTGATTTTGCAGCACTGGTTTGAAAATCCACATTTGTTCTTTGCATCGTATGTAGACAACACGCCTTTATGATAGAGCACCTGATTTGTCAGTCTGTACTTGTCATATGTCACAGACAAATATATTTATCCTTTGAGCAGGTACCTATAGTGCGTTTTTTCCCCCTCCGAAGAATAGTTGTGTGCTAGACCTTAATGGTAGTTAATTGCTACATATAAATGGAACTTCAGTTTACCTTTCTGTGGCTGTGGACGTTTTATGTGACGTAATATGGAGATGGATGCCAACAGGGAGTATGTGGTACTTGGTTCTGTGATGCTTCTTAGTGAAAATTCATCCTGATAACAAGTACAGCCTATGTCAGGATCAGTTTTAAGCTTGGGCAAACTGGGCAGATGAGTAGGGGAGCAAACTGCAAAGCTTGACAGAAACAATGGCCATAAAGCACACAAGGGGCTCGTTGGCCATGGTTCTGTGCTTGCCCTGTGCAGAGCAGCCTCTCTGAGCACTATCTTTGTGAAGCAGCTCTCTAGTTACTATTTTGCTTTCTCTGGTACCAGCCTGCCTGCTATACGACCACCTCCTCTCCTCTTGTGCTGCAGAGAAGATGAGCACTGCCACAAGAGTGTTGTGGGTTTTTTCCCCATGCCAATAATGAGGACAAAATAAGGTTTTTGTCCTCATTTTTGTGGGTGACAACTGTGGATTCCCCATGTGGTTCTGAGACTGTGTCAGGTCTGGCTATTGATTGCAGCCCTGCCAAACCTTACATGTTTTTCGTAAATTTAGTGAATGGATAGACAGCTTATGCAACTGAAGGTGTTTTTTCTTGATAGATTTGTACAGCATGGGACAAGCCTTAATGTGGGTAGCATACTGTGCTTCTGAGCTGGAGGCCTATGCTCCCTTCTGGAAGTAGACTTGCATCCAGTATTTTTGTGTACGTGCAAATATTTGAAAAAACAAGTTTGAGAAGGTAGGAAACCTCAAATTTATAGACTTTCCACATTTGATAGCTTTATCTGAGTAATACTAAAAATCCCCCAAAATTCTTTGCATCTGATTTTGAAAAGCTTTTATCATTATTATCAGATTAAATGCAAATAACTTGAGTAGCTAATTTTTTTCCTAACCTTAAATCCACGGCTTTAAAACCAAACTGGTTTCAATGCATGCTTGGAAAGTTTTACATAAAATCTCCTAATTTCATACGATACTTTACAGACAGGCCTAAGATCTTGTCTTACAGAACTTCTAAATATTTTTATAGTCTTATAGGTTTTTCCAGATGTGAGAAATTGAACGTGATCTAATTTATAACCTGAAACTTCTTCTTTCCAGCAGAATTTCCCTTCAGCCACTGAGTCTTTTTGTAGATGTAAGGGCTTGCTTTCAAGCAACTCAAGGCTGTTGTAGGCCCTCTGTTTATGGAAAGTAATTTTCTAGGCAGCAAACATTAACTTTGTCTCAAATTCTTCTGTCTGCAGGAAGCCGCACAAGCCTTGATTTATGCTGGGATGGCTGGGTCAAACTTGGAAAATATTCAAGAAAAAATAAATGAGTACTTGGAGAGAGTTCAAGCTCTCCATTCAGCAGGTGGGTAAGGAGCTTTCCACTCAATTAATTTAAGCAGAGGTTTAATTAGAAAGTTGTTTGCTGCTGTGAAATACATATCAATGGTGTTTGCTCTGTTTTTCATTATTCTAATTTCCTTGTCCTTTGTGAAAAACCACAAATCAGTGCTTTGAATTCTGATACATCAGAAATTAAGTGGAGACTGAACTACCTAAGGACTTGAGTGTGGGTATTCTTTGCTTTTAAATATTCTGAGGAATCTCATCTGCAGAGAAAACATGAGAAAGTAATTAAATATAGCGATAAAAATTGATTAGGAACAAATCAAAACACACATCTGAGGTTAGCTGCATGATGGATTTGAAGCAAGTGGGTTCTGATATTTATATATAATTACTAATGTTGAGAGGGCAAAGGAGCTCTTTGCTCTCATAAGAGTTTCCTTGTTTGATCTGGTTTCAATGTTTCTGCCCAGACTAAATCCTTCAATTTTTGCACACCTGCAATTCTCAATTAGAATCATAGAATCATTTGGCCAAAAAGGGACCTTGGAAGGCCTATGTCCAGCAGAAAGCAGGGTAGACATTGATTTTTAGACCAAGTTGCTTAGGTTCAGTCAGGTCCTAAAAACACCTAAGGACAGAAATTTCCTGGTGCCCCTGAGCCCCCATTCCAGGGTGCAATTGTATTTCTAGTGATTATTTTTTTATATATATCTAGTTGTATTCTCCCCTGTTTCAATCCATAGCCACTGACTCTCATTCCCTTTCTTCACACTGCAGTGAAGAAAATGGATTCAGGCTCTTTCTTAACAAGCTCGCAAATAATGACAGGTTGCTATTAGGTCCCCCCAAAGCCATCTCTCCTCCTGGCTGGACAAGCTGTGCTTCCTCAGCTTTTCTAAAGGCGAAGTCCTCCAGCCTCAGCCTCACTGGGGACCCAAGGCGGGATGCAGCATTCCAGACAGTCTGCTGAGTGCTGCATAGAGGGTGCCAATCGTTTCCCCACCCTCAAATCTCCTGGCTGTGCTCCTGATGATGCAGCCCGGGGTGCTGTTAGCCTTCATTGCTGCGGGGGTCCTGCTGGCTCAGGTTCATCCACCTGTCCCCCAGACCCTCCTTCATGGGCCTATACCCTGCAGGGTGTTAGTCTGCCCAAGCACAGGGCATAGCATTTGTCCTGAGGTTCTTGGCAGCCTGTTACTTTAGCTTGTCTGTGTCCATTTGAACAGCTGTGTTCATTCACACAGCTGTGTGCTTGAATGAATTGGTTTGGTGGGGTCTGCAACCTCGGTGAAGGTGCACTCTGCCTTCTCCTTCAGGTCATTAATAAAGGTATTAAATGAAGTGGACACCTAAGGAACTCGTATGTTTTGTTAGGTGATGTGTTTTCACAAATGATGCAATATTTGACATAAACATACTTGTTCTCAGTGTAGTATGAAAGAGATTTTATTTACATTATTTGACATCTGAAATATCCTGAGAGCGTATCTCTGCTTCAGGGAGGGGGTGGTCCTTGCCTAGATGTTTCCAGACATTAGTTTCCAGACAAGAAATAGTTATTACTCATCTGATTAGGGTTGCTAGTGTTTCCATACCTTGTTAAGGATGTTTTTACATGTCTGCTGCTGAAGAAAGCTAAATACTTTCTTTTTCGTTTAGTTCAGTCACAGAAAACAGACCCTCTGAAGTCAAAACAACAGTTGGACTTGGAGCGTGCTCACTTCCTAGTTACACAGGCTTTTGATGAAGATGATAAAGGCAATGCAGAAGAAGCTATAGAGTTGTACACAGAAGCCGTGGAACTCTGTTTGAAAACAGTATGTTAAGCTACAGGTTAACTTGGTGGAATTATGTGATGGTAAGAAATTCTTCAACTTACACAAGTGACTGACTCTTAAAGGCTGGCTTGAAAATGGAGTACCTGTATTTCTAAAAACTACTTTTTAATCTTTTTTTTCCCCACTGTATTTTTTTTAGCATTTCTTCCAGCCTGTGTTGTGTTGCTATACAGCACTGTAAATTTTTGGGGTCTTGTGATTTCTGTGTGGGTTTTTTTTCTGAACTGGATCATACTAAAAACTAGAAATATTCTGGAACGTTTTTCATGTTAATTTTTGCCCTGGAGCAAATACAGTGCTAAACCAAATTAAAAACTGTTAAAACTGAAGATGACTTGCTAATGTGTCAGCTGTATTACTTTCTGACTACATTAAAGGAAGTAATTTAAGTGAAATTTTTGTGTGTGACACTTTCTGAAGATGTAATAGTCTACTGATGCCAAAACTAGTAAAAATAGTACTTGATTGCTCAACATTAAAGCTGTTATGAGTGAATTCAATTCACACTGAAATTAATAAGGACAAATTGGCCATTATGTAAATGATGAAGAATATAATTACAGGTACTGCTTTTTTCCCCTAAGTCCAGTTGCCTTAACTAACTCATTATAAGAAGAGCTCACCATCATAATGTAACTCCACCAAGTCTGTTTTTCTTTTTCCCTTCTTTTCCCTTTTTATAATGTAAAAATATATGCGGGTTGTTGAGAGTGGTATGTTACTGTTGCTACATGCTAGAGTAAGTTCTTTTCTCTGAATTCTGTAAAGAGGTTATACCTAGGATAAAAACCCCTGGTGATGCAGTGTAACCAGATCAAGAGTTAGTAGAACTGCTCTAGTTTTTTGACTTGAGCTGTTGGAGCAGAACATTTTCAGTCTATTACATAACATCTGCTGCGGCAGTGTACTGTTTTTCCTCTGCTGTGTTCCTCCTCCTGTTGTGTCAGTGCATGAAAATATTACTGAAGTTAGTCTGAAAGTACGTATTTTGTACATGTATTTTTCATGTCTGAAAGAACATATTTTTATTAATAACTGCATATATATATGCATGTATAACATCGGGTACTTCATGAGGTACAAGATACTGCTGAAGTTTCTTTTAATCTTGACTAGCATATTATTTTGTTGACATGGTGGTAAGCTTTGTCCCTTGGGGTGACCCAAAAGTACCACCTTCTTCCCAGGATGAAAGAAGATTGAAGGAACTCTGCTATCTTGAAGCTTTACTTCTATTTTTCTCCTTAGAATATGCAGGTGGAGAAATTTGTTTCTTCCTTACCCTTAAAGTACTCAGAGAGCAGCCATTCCTCCTCTTGTGTGGCTGATTCCTAGATGACTGTGCTGGTGTTCCATCTCCATTGCTTACCTTCATACATCTTTCAGAATCTTTTCCAACTAGGAACTCCAGCGTGTAATTTATTTGCAAATGAAGTTAGTAGCTTGTAGAGGGTGTTTCTCGTTTTGTTTCCTGGGGTGAAAGTAGCTTGTTTTTTGTATCCTCAGTTGACCTGGCTGACCTGGTCAAGCTACAAAGCTAGAACCTGAAACCTGTCACACTTGTGGGTGTCACAGGAGAAGCCACATGTCATGTTGTGCCTCTTGCAGATTGTTTAGCAGCAGAAGCCATGCTTCACCTGTAAGGAAAAGGAAAATGTAAACTGTCATAGCTGACCTCCCAACTGGGAACAGAAGTTAGCACTCTTGATACCTGTTTCCTTGCCCTGTCATAGTTCTATGCCTTTGACTGCAAGTTAAAAATGTTGTTCTTGCACATCTGTCTTGTTAGTTTGTATTTTATGAAAATAAACATTCAAAAATGTATTTTTTTTTCCTAAGGTACCCTGATTATTTTTTACTCATTGGGGGAAAGAATGAGAACACATCCAAGCTCAGTAGTGTATGTTACATTTGGTTTTGTGTTCTTTCTGCCCATAGTGTTTTAATACAGTTAATTCTTCTGGCAAATTTTTTTTCTGTATGTTATGTTTCCCATGTGATGTTTTTAAACATCACTTCCATTTTATGAACATTTCACTAGAACAGCAAAATGATATTTACGTACTTCATATGGTTTTTATGATGAGATTTAAAAAAAAGAACAGCAAAAACCCTACAACCCCCACATATTTGCTCATTTAAAAATAGAATTGGGAAAAATAGCTAGTTACTCTTCAGTGTAATCTAGAATTATGACAAACTGAGCTTTTAAAACATGCTGGGTTTCTTTCAATGTGTAGCTTTGTTTTTTCTTGCTTTTATTTTGTACTTCAGGCTACTGAAACTTCAGAAGCAGGCCTCCAGTCCAAACTGAAACAGCTGGCTCGACAAGCGCTGGATAGGTGAGTACTGCTAATGTTAGTAAATATACTTGCTGTCAGGTCTAAGTGCACCCTCTGAGTTGTGTTCTCAGTCTTGCATGTCTGCATGGTTTCTGGGTAGACCAAGCTCCCGTAGACTTCTCCTTGGAGCTAGCTGCCAGCTGCTACACTGCTGAATGTAGCAGCTGTTGTGCCAGCCCTCTGGGAATCTTGGGACATGCAGAATTAGGAAAGGACTGTGTATATGCTCGAACAAATGCACTGCTTCAGTATTCAGAGATAAATATCAGAGCTTCTATAAAAATGCTGAATTGAAGCCAGCATGAAGTTAAGGTGTCACTGTCCCTTCATAAGGAAGACGACTTGGAAACTGGGAAACACTTATCTTGACAATAGCAATCTAATTGCATGGTATATGTGTAATAAAGTGTCTGTCTGAAACAATTTGCACAAGTATAAGTTCAAGATACCTCTTCTAAAATCAACTGTTTGACGGTGAATCATGGCCTACGTCGGGCAAAGTTTCAGTATAAGCTGGTTTTTAGCACTGCTTGGTCTGTGTTCAGAAAGAAACCAGTATTTTGCATGTGTGTGACCATCCACCAGCTTAATGCAGCAACAACAAAATATGGCTCCCGAATACACAGTCTTCAAGCAGTTGAAATGCTGGGTTGTGAGAATGGCTGTGGGTTTTTACTGCTATTGTAGCTGCTAGACAAAATAAATCCGGAAGGTATGAGAGGGTGCAAATCAGTTTTCTCTCTCTGTGTTTCGGTGATCTTGTTTTGAGATTCCAGATAATGAACACTTACACAAATTCTCCTATTAGCGTAATTTAGAGGCAATAAAAATCTAATGAGTTCTGCCAAAAGTAGCTTATGTGAGTTGGAAATGCTATCTTTTAATTGATTCAAGAACAGGAAAGTAAAGTACCAGCATCAGAAATAGATTTTGGGGTTTTTTTAGGGAAAGTGGTGAACAAATTGGGCATTTGTTCTTTCCATGTAATATATGTGGGAACATGAACCAAGAGAATGAGTAATTGAACCATAACTATGTTTTTATCATTGTTGTAAGTAAAATGCATTTTTATTTGCTTTAGAGCAGAGGCACTGAAGGAATCTATGTCAAAGTCATCTCAGAAAGAAAAGTCAACTGCAGCTAAACCAAATCAGCCAGTGAGAACGTTCTTCCCATTAGGACCTGATTTTTCTTTAAATGATAAACCACAGACAATCAGAGCAGTACAAGCTAGTGAACCTCAAGGTCAGAGATACACTGCAGAGGAGATTGAAGTGCTCAGGTAAGTTGAAGATTTTCCAAAATGAGTTCATGAGAGATCTGGCTCTGAGAAGCCAAAGTACAGAGGTGTTTTCATAGATTAAGCAACTGCACTGGAAATTGAGGTTGCATAATATTTTGTAGGACTGTGGCTTCTGTTGCATCCAATTCCTTTTGCTTAGATTTTTATTATAGGTGGAATAAGCTACAAATAATCCATAAAACCTTTAGCCTAAATTTTGAATTTTTAAAACTATCAAATACATCGATTTCAAGTGACAGTTGTCTAGTTTTCAGAAGCACTGTTCTGTTACCTTTTAAAAACTGATTTTGTTGCTATTACCTTTTGGAACTTAGTCTTTGAAAGATGATAGATAGGTTTGTAACTATATTTGTTTTGTTATGACTTTCAGGAAGACTTCAAAAATTAATGGCATTGAATATGTACCTTTCATGAGTGTGGATCTGAGGGAACGTTTTGCTTTCCCTATGCCTTTTTCGTAAGTATGGTTCAATTTCTGAACTTCACTTTTGTTTTTATTTTCAAAACTTTCCCATATTTGGTATTTCTGTGTTTTCTTTTTAGGAGATTAAAATTGGTAAGGTAGGGTTTTAATCATAATTCAGGCAGAGATACTTAAATACTACCACTTCCTTCTTCCATTCTGAACTTAAGACTTCATTGTAGGCTGACCTTGCTGTATAGTGCTTTTGCAGTTGTGCCTTCAGGCCTGTAAGGACAACATTATATTTGACTTTTTGGAATATTGGGCTGGGCTGGCAACTTGGTCCCATTTTCTAATTCTGCTCCACACAGAGTTTAGCTCCCTTTGTGTCAGTTACCTGTAAACTGAGGGTGGTAGCCCTTTCCTCTGTAAAGGACTATTCCGAGGAATAGTGATATGTAACTGCTAGACCTTCATTCATGAGCAATAATAATATGTCAAGATTGCATAGCCATAACAGACAAAGACACTTGGGGTTGGTTTTTTATTTTGGTTCGGTTTTTTTCCCAGTTTTTTGCTAAAGGCGTATCAATCAAACAAGCCTCAATTTTCAAAACTAAAGAAAGTTTTTATTATTAGGTTCATCATATTCAAATAAAGTGCAGAATTTGAGTTTCTACTGGTGTAGGTGGCTTTTTGGAATTCCCTGCTGTTCAATCTTTTATGAAGGAAACTCCTGGGTTTTATTTCATTTTTTTTTTCCTCTAAAAATCACACACTTAGAAGTGATGTTCTTTGAAATTGTTTTACAGCTTTTTAATTTTTCTGTACATATTTTGCACAATCTATCAGATGTACATAGGATTGGTCAAACCATGAAAAGCTTTTCTAAACTGCTACTGATTTATTTCTACTTTTTTTTCTCTTTTAAATCTAGTGATAAATGCGGGAAGTTACCATTATCCCCCAAACAGAAAGCAATGTTTGCCAAGTGGGTGCGACCAGATGACATAACAAATAACCCTACCATGATCTACACTGTATCAAGTTTCAGCATAAAGCAGGTAAATTGTTCCTAAAGAGAAGTGTGTGCTGCTCCCAGGGAACTTTCTTGTTCAAAAAGGAATCCCCAAATGTGAGAGTTCATTCCTTGACCCTCATGAGATTAAATAAATAAATAAATTCCATAAGTTTTCTGTCCACAAGAATAAACAGGTGTTAGCAGTGACAGTGAAAATTAGAATTTGAATTCCAGCTGAAAATCCTGTTTTCTAGAGATAGTGGTAAGGGTAGTATGAAAAAGCCAAGGTGTACTCTGCAGCAAATTGCTCACTTCATTTAGTGCATGGGAAAAGTAATGAGAAAGATCTTTAAATTTTTATTTGATGGGAAGCAGTGGCCCATTGAGAACGGGGACATATCCTAGTGTCAAGTTGCAGATGGTCCAAACTATTCTGGAATCTGTAATAGATTATGCCCTTGGATATGGTATTTGGGAGGAAGGAGTAAGTGTGAATGCGTGCTGAGGTATCTGTGCTTGCCTCTGATTGTCATTAGTAATTCTAACTTTGGTTTGCTTTGTAGGGGACTCGTGTTTAACAAGCATACACTTCCTGCCTTTTTAGTAGTGGATTTGTTTCTCTTCGTTTAAAGCTTTCCTTTTTGAAGGCAATTACTAACTGATGGTTTTCCTTCCCTCCATACACTGCATTCATCTTTCAGTATTTGAGTTATTAGAAAATGTCCTCACTGGTTTTCTTTTCTTTGTAGACAATAGTGTCAGATTGCTCTTTTGTGGCATCACTAGCTATCAGTGCAGCATATGAAAGAAGATATAACAAAAAATTGATCACGAGGTAAGTAGCTGTTGCTTTCTAAGGTCTTTCTGGACTTAATACTGCCAAGCTTTTGCAAGATGTTCCATGACACTTGTACACAGTAAAAACTAGCATTTGTTTCACCTTCATCTCCCTTGGACTTGTGGTTTCAGCACTTCTAAGAGGAGAGCCAACTATATATAGATACGTATACAGACATTGGTGTTTAACTTAGATCTGCTTCAAGGAGTAATGAATAGTTTGGAAGGGGTTTTTATTTGTTTGGGATTTTTTTAATAGAAATTTTACTTACAATGCTTTATAGTTTCGTTGCAACTCATTGTAGAATTAATGTTAGCAAAACTGTCTGAGTTCCACTCGTTGGGGATCCCATGATAAATTTGCCATGAGTTTTGTGGACTTTGATGGGAGCCCCTTGCCAGACCAGTGTGTGAATGTTTTTGGATTGCTTCGTTTTAACCTATTCTCATTAGAACTGAACTTGTGTTCTTTTCAAGAGCAGTGAGTTCTGCACTGCCTTCTTCTTCAAATGTTTAACTTATAAATACAGTACTTCCCTGAATGACATTAGAGATATGTAAATACCATTTGTTTAATAATGATAATTTTCTTTGCCTTGCTTCTGTTTGAGAAACAATTAGGTTACTTATGTTCTTTTTGCTACTATATTAAGCAGAAACCTGCAGGAAAAGCAAGGCCTGAAAAATAAAACCTATTTCCACATGATTATTTTTTACTTTAAATTTGAGTTGCTCTTTCATTAAAAATTCTATATTGATGTTAAGTATAAATTCCAGGAACAAACTGTGTTAATTCCACTCTTATTGTTATCAGCCAAGTAATTTGTCACAACTTCCTCTTTTTCTTTTTTTTTTCTATTAACAGTATAATTTACCCTCAGAATAAGAAAGGGGAGCCAGAGTATAATCCATGTGGTAAATACATGGTGAAGCTTCATATCAATGGTGTACCTAGAAAGGTAAATGGTTTTGGGGAGACTTAGTGCTATTACTGTTTAAGTCATATATTTTAAAGGCTTGGTCTGCTTCACTGTGAAGTGCTTGCGTAGCCAAAAAATCCTTATATCACTTAAAAGAATTATGAAAACCAAACAGGAGCAAAACTACATATCCCATATTTATGAATTGGATGTGCACTTTTCCACCCCATCTTAGAAAGGAAGTTACAGAATTTAAAAGTACAGAGGGGGACATCCAGGCAGAGTATAGATATGGAATGACCATAGAGGAGTAACTCGACTGCAGATTTTTAGTATGGAGAGGAGATGCCTGAACACAGAACTTTTTAAACTGACAAAAAACTTAATTTTCTTTTCAGCACAATAAATAAGGACATAAAATAATGTATTTCTCCATATAATACTTAATAGTAGCACTGATTATTGCAGATCATATTGTCTGATGAATGTTTAGGGGAGTTCAGAAGTAGAGTGAGCATATTCATGGGGGTGGGGGAGTAAGGCGAAACTCGTCAGAGGGATATAACCTCTGGGTCAGGAAGTCCTTAAGCTGCAAAATTCTGGAATCTGAATGTTTCAAGAAAGTATCATTTATGTGTTTGCCTTGCTCTTATTACCCCTTCCAAAATATCTCTTAATGGCTTCCTTTTGTTATGATGAATGGCCATTTGCTCTTCTATGAAAAGGATTATTCGTTTTTGCACAGATAGGATTTGACCAGAAAATGTGCTGTGTTGGTAGCCTGTATGTAATGGACTAATGCCAACAGAAAACTGAAAATCTATTCAGAGAAACTGTCTCATACCACTACAAGTATGCAGGAACAATCTATGATAATGAGGAATATATGCTACCCAATATAAGGAAGAAATGTTAATACTGTAACAGCTGCTGCTATGAGTTGTTTTCCCTCTTCAGAGGGAAGAAACTTAAATCTAGAAGTAGAGGCTATGAAAGTGATATGACACAGTTTGTCTCCTTATAGACAAATAAATGTTTATTTTTCTGCTGGCTACCAAGCACAGTCCATGCTCTTGATTCCTAATTAGTTGAGGAATGTTGTTTGGCTTTTCTTTACTTTTTTATGCTTGTTATTACACTGAACGTTTCTGCACGTACCTTTTACAATAGATATTAAACACTTTATAAGACTGTACTGTTGTCATTCCTATTTTACATATGACAAAGAGAGGCAGCCAATCACTGGACACTCAGTTGGGCCAGTGCAAGTCAGAGATGGCAACAGAATTTCTTTTTCGCTTGGGCAAACCACTGCAGAATTGACAGAGGTGTTAACATGTGAGAATAATGGTCAGGTCTGGTTGTATCTGAGAAGCTGTGTATTAATGAGGGGTTTGGTTTATTTCCTAAGCACTTTCAAATTATTTTATTAGGTTTATGATGATTTTTCATTCATTTCAAACAGGTAATCATAGATGACCAGTTACCTGTTGATCATAGTGGGGAACTTCTCTGCTCTTATTCTAATAATAAGAATGAATTATGGGTGTCTCTAATAGAAAAGGCTTACATGAAGGTCATGGGAGGATATGATTTTCCTGGATCAAATTCTGTAAGTATGAGATTATTTCTTAGAGGAAGAAATTCCACTCAGATAATATTGGGTCAAATAATTTCCTTCTAGTGTGATCAAAGTGAATTGCTTGGGGAGACAAGTATTGGGTTTGCCATTTTCTTAATTTTTTTTTTTGTTTCTTTCTTTCAAATATTCTTAGCTGTACTTAAGGAAATTATTCTATCAAAGTAGAATGAGCAAGATATCTATCTTGATGGTCCGAGTTAATCTTAGTTCTCAGACTGCACTATTGACACTTGTGGGCGGGAAGTACCTGTATTTTATATAAAGCCTAGATGAAAGTGTTGGGTGAAGTCATAAAATTTCTTTGCCCATATCAATACTGTTGATTTTGGTTTCTAACTCAATAGGGCAGTTCTCCCTCATTAGGTAATGGAGTCAGCTAGGAAAGGGCTAGTCATTCAGTACGTGTATGGAGGGAGCAAGTACTTTGATCTGTGCAAGTTTGTTTATCAGATTGTTCCACTCACCTACATAAATATGTATCGGGTTCCTATAATGTGGTTACTAAAGAAACAGTCATTGACTGTGCTGCAGCTAAACTGGCATGCAAATTATTCTTTCAAAGAGGGACAGTTTACTGAAATGAGTATCCCTTATAATCTTAATTTGTTACTTAGGAAGCCTTTCTGATTTCACTTTAAAATTCTTTAAAATTTTAATAGTGTATTTTTTCATTTCATGGTGCTGTTCGCATTCTAGTTAATCACATTCTTGGAGGGTATACTAGGTAATCATCATCCCTTGAAAAATTATTATGGAACAAATGTGGCTTTGTGTAAGGGGTAAATGTAGCACACATTTTTATCTGTGCATATGTCAGTGTCAGGCTGCTTTGTTTTGAAGGACAGAAGCTGGTGAGAATAGATGTGTTTTATTCTCATCGTTGTTCTCTAACTTGCTATCTGGAAAAACAGCTTGACTTGTGACATTTAATCTCCACCCTTCCCACCCCCTCTGGTTTCCACTATATTCTAGCTTCCTTGTGTAATCAGGGTTACTTACTGACTGTCTTGTACTTGTAATTCTTCAAGTTCCCACCCAGCAGTGCTGGTTATTGACACTTCAAACATTTAGAGTGTCTGCTTTTGCTTTGAGGAGTAAAAAGCGAAAGAAAAGGAATAAGCAATGTTTCAAGGAGCTGGGAGATTAAAGCATCTTTTCATGGAAATACATGTCAGTGTCAGCTTTACCAAAAAGAATAAAAAAACCAAACCCTGAGCCTTAAAGTAAAACTTAAATTATTTAAAATGCATATATACTGCTTTTGAGACTGTGCTTTAAGAGTTTGTGAATCAATGAAATAAATAGAACACATCACACAAATGAGTGTGACTGATGATTCTCTTATGCTTCTGTTACTCTGAAATTCCCAGCTTCTGGGGGGGGTGTGGATTTTTTGGGGGGTTTGTTGGGGGTTTTTTTTGGTTTGGTTTTTTGTGGGTTTTGTTTGGTTTTGTTGTTTTGGTTGTTTTTCATTTTGTTTTTGTTAAACGATTTGGAAATGTTGTCCTTATCTAATCAAAGAATTTTTTGTTAGTCTTTATCTTGAGCCTTTTAGGTGTAGAGTTGTACTGTAACGTGTGTTGATTTCTTTTGAGGCATTTTTATAAGATGTCATATGCTGATGGATCTGTTCTGATTTCTTTTGAATATTTGCTTTTCAGAATATTGATCTCCATGCACTGACTGGTTGGATACCTGAAAGAATTGCTATGCACTCTGACAATCAAGCTTTCAATAAAGACAGTACTTTCAGAATGCTTTATCAGAGGTAGATGTTTTTTCTTTCCTAAGTAATTAAAATGCTTGCTGTGTAGTAGGTGCATTACCACTGTAAAAGCAGTACAGTCATCATAGATCCTTTGATAGCATTTTGGTATTGCTACAGGTTGTGCTTTATAAAATTTCTATGTACTTTGTGGAAGAAGAAAAATTGAGGTATTGGTGGCTTTGATAAAACAGAAGAGTAAAATATTGTGGAATTCTTTACATATGAAGAAAAATAATAGTAGCCCTTTTCTTGATGAAGAAAATAGAACACAGAGTCACAGAAGAGCAGCTTGGAACTAACATAAAAGTTAAGTGTTTAAAAGTTGTTCTCACACAGCTCCCCAGAACTTATGCACTTATCTGCTGTCCTTAGCAAGCAGATATTATATAGTATTTCTAATCATATCACAAGACTATGCCCCATTAGTAAGTGTCCTGGAGTAGCAGCAAAAATCTATCAAAACAGCAATATTTGTCTTCAGACATACCATAACAGTTGGATTTGATGGTCTTAAAGGTCCAAACTAAATGATTCTATTATTCTATTTGTGGTGAAAGGCAGAGCTGCAATTTATAAATGCCAGCAATCAAATACTTGGATTTCTTTCAAAATGGTTTTGTGCAACCAGTTTCTTACGTATGTGAGTGCAGTAGAGGGGTGTTATTCTGATGACTGAAACATCTGCATTCATGATAGAAGAGCATGACTCTTTTGACAGTGCTTTTTCAGTTGGTTAGGAGCTTTTTAGATGACTGTCAACAATTCTTCAGATATTCCAGCACTGTAATTTGGAGGTGTGACTGCAGTTAGAATGGTATCTAGCCATTATAGCATCACTATTGCTTACCTGTGCTAGACTGAAAATGTTTTGATCCATAGCCCAGTGACCCTGTACACTGACTGGGGACACTGAGTCTGTACTTGAATTCTAGCATGGACTGTGAAACATGCTAGTGTGTTTTCAGAGTAATAATTGCTGCAAAATTAACAATTGCTATTCATAACACAAAACTTGAGTGTGAACACCTGCAAAAGTACAGAAGCACGAACTTCTCATTCTTTAGGTTTTGGAAAGCACCTTCAGAATCCTGAGGGTGTTGACAGCATTATTAATTTACTACATGCAGTGCTTGGCTAAGTGTTGATGAAACCACGTTTGTGCTCAGCTGAAGACCTGTGAAGAGTATCTTTAAAAAGTGACACAGGTTGAACTTCAGGTTGATAAATGCTGAATTATGTTTATGAAAATATGAAGTCACATTAAAAAAATAATTTTTCACTTAAAGTCTGTACTTAATTCTGAAAGAAAAATAGTTCCACTTTCTTAAGCTTTTTCAGGAGTGATTTCTGCTGACCAAAAACCAAAGGCATGCTAATGGACAGTCTAAAAATGTACTATAGCAGGCTCTGGCAAATGCTAGTTTGCAACTTGCAAGGTTTTATTAAGATATTTTTCGCTTTTTTTTTGAACAGATTTCACAAGGGAGATGTCCTTATTACCACAGCAACAGGGGTGATGTCTGAAGAGGAAGGAGAAAAATGGGGTTTAGTTCCAACCCATGCATATGCAGTCTTGGACATAAGAGAATATAAGGTATCAAATAAAACTGAACATGTTTTCAGATGCCTGTTTGAAAACTCCAGTGGGTTTCTAGGTTTACCTTAGGTGGGCAGCTACTGATTTTTTTCTCTAATGGCTAATATAGTGTATTTTGTCATGGTCTCCACTGGGAAATTTCAGAAAACTTAATGATGCTGTCTTTTCTTTAGCTATTGGTCCATATAAAAAATACCTTGAATATGTAAAAATTACCCTGACAAGATGAATTTTATTTTATAGGGACTTAGATTTCTTCAGTTGAAAAATCCCTGGAGCCACTTACGTTGGAAGGGACGATACAGTGAAAATGACATAAGAAATTGGACCCCAGATTTACAAAAATACTTGAACTTTGATCCAAGAACAGCTCAGAAAATAGATAACGGTAATAAAGTTTGAGAATTCACTATTTTTTTCCAATAATACAGATCTTTGTCATGTATCCTTGTAGGAAGGTGGAAATAAATGCTTAAGCACAAGGAGAGTAAAACAAATACTATGAATTAAATAGTCCAAAAGTTTAGGAAGTATTTCTGTATCTAAATCTGTCATTTCAGGTTTGACTTGAGGTTTAAGTAATCTGGACTGTTAAATATATCTCAAATTCACTGACAAGAAAGTACCTCCTTGCTTATGTGTTGCTGTCTCAGCATCTGAGTGTGGGGGAGTTCAGTGCAAAGAGAACATGCTTTTTAATATGTCATTGGACTTTCTGTGGGGTTTTCCCTATGGCATTAGCAAATACATACAGCATGCTTACTGTAATCAGTATTTAAATTAGTCTTGCCTGTACTGGAGGTAAGTGGGTTCTTTCTCCCTTGCATTACTTTGAAGATTTGTTTATAGATATATTAATTATATACACTGTGTTTCAGGTTGTAAGACTAGATTGAGATCCATCTTCGAGATAGTGGCACTAGTATGTCCCTGCTCAGAGAAACCACTTGGAATGATGCCCAGTGTTGTCTCTTCTTTCTAAGGGAGCAGCAGAGTATAGTATCTGGAAAGTCAGTGTGGGTTTGGTGGTGGAAGGACAGGTTGCCAATAGTTTAGAAATTCTACAGTAGCTGCATTTTACTTTCCGAAAGAGAGTTCTGCTTTTTACTGTATCCTAGTTGCTGTCTGCATATCTCTATGAGGGAGCCCTTTTGTTCAGTGCCACTCTGTTTCTACTACAGTATACATTCAAATCCATTAAATTAGAGCATTTATTGATAATCATCATCATCATGGCTAGGCTTCGCGAACGAAGATTTGGGAAGGGCTCTACCCACGTTTGTTACAGGCATGCTGGTGGCTAAAAAGGCCAATACGAGATAGACACGTCCGGTTGCAAAAGGCACAGCAGAAAGACTCCTTAGGTGGTATATTCTGCAAGACACGGTTCTTTCTGCGTTGTCTTTTCTCCTCGAGGGTGACCCTGCGTGCGTTCTCAAAAGCATCAGCAGCGTTATAGATGGTGTGTCTCCAGGCCTCCCGATTGGAGGCCAGAGTAGACCAGTTATGGTGATCAATATGGCCGAGGCTGAGATGTTTTTTCAGGGAGTCCTTATATCTTCTCTTCAGGGCTCCTCTCTTGCAGCAGCCGGTGGCAAGTTCACCATAGAGCAGGATCTTAGGGAGGCGGTGGTCCTTCATCCTTGAGACGTGCCCTGCCCAGCGCAGTTGCGTTCTCAGTAACATGGCCTCAATACTTGTGACAGCTGCTTGCTCTAGAACAGATGTATTGATCACATAATCTGACCAGTGGATGTTTAGGATTGTACAGATTGTTGATGGAAGCGTTCTAGGAGACGGAGGTGGTGGCGGTAGATGACCCATGATTCAGATCCATATAAAAGAGTAGACAGCACTATGGCTCTGTAAACACTGATCTTTGTACTTTTCTTCAGGTGTTTATTTTGCCAAACTCTTTTATGAAGAGCATTTATTGATAAGCCTCACGCAAATGCATAAGGAAAACTTTTGATTAAAATATAAGAATAGCAGCCCTGGCTTTGTGACAGTTATGAGGGAGTAGCTCATTATTTATTTACCAATTCATTTAGTAAGTAGTTTGTAACATCTAGTAGTTAAAATCTTATATAAAATTACATTAGTAGTTTTAATGGAGTTGCTCCTTCTAACTGGATTTGCACTCTGGTCTTACTTTTTGTGTGTAGCTATTATGACTGTTTTTTAGTGCTGCAAGATGTGCAGCTGCCTATGTCAGAGACTTGAATTATAAGGCTGTTACCACTTTAAGAGTTCATTCCATTAGGAATCTATTGTTTTGCAGGCACTCTTGTTGGCTGGAGTTACAGGAGCTTGCAATTAAGGGAGCTATGTTGTAAAGGAAGTTGTAAGGGAGAAGCAAAGGTGAAGGTGTTGTAAAGGTGAAGCAAATTCAGGGTGCCAAAGCAAGTGACGTAGGCATTGGATGAAGTATCTTAGAAATACATTCAAACATACTCATATGTTGATTGAATACTTGATTGTGCTGGATGATTACTGAAGGATGTTGTTGAATTGCAGGAACCCATTTGACTATGTCCTTTTTGTTTTCAGAAACCTAGAAAAGGGGAAGACAGGTCAGAATCACCTAATGACGTCTCTTTCAACGTAACAGATCCTCTCATACCTTCTGCTTAGTGCTTGAGAATGAAAGGCATTCTGACAGCTTCAGAAAGTTCTTGATAATAAGCAGAGACTAACTTGTTTTTTCTTGCTTTAAGTTGTTTGTTTAAATTTAGACATGTGGGCAATGCAGTTCTGCAAACTAAGTTTTGCAGAAATGTTGGCTAATATAAGCTGTATCATTTGCCCAGAAAGAGACTTTTGAAAAACAAGTAAAATCAAGATATCTGCTAAGAAAACAATAACAGCATTTCCTTTTTAGGCATTTTCTGGATTTCCTGGGAGGACCTGTGCCAGTACTATGATGTTATTTATTTGAGTTGGAACCCAAGTCTTTTCAAAGAATCTACATGTATTCACAGGTTGGTCCAAAAGATAAAATTTTTGTGTCAAAATCTCAGTAAGTGTTCTGAATAGATGTTTCCTTCCTTCCATTCTTCCTAGTTACAGCTAGGAGGTAGAACTCCAACCATGTTCTTTTAAGCCTGATTTCACACTTTTAAATTCTCAGCCCAGGCTTTCTTCTTGACTACTTCTGTAACAGAGTTGAAGCTCCAGTGACCTTTGTGATGTTACTGTGGACCTAAGACTGCATAACCAGATTTTGACCTCAGTCCCACATCTATCGGAATAGAAATCAAGATTTTTGTGCAGTCTGTCTCTAAGGAGTGACCAGACAGTGCTTGAGTGACCTCAATTTTATTTGGAATTAATTCTTCTGGCCAGTTGCAAGTCTGCTGTGCAGCGTGTGTTGTCTTCACAGGTGTTCACTGAAGTCAGAGTAGTTTAACCAATTCTGTTTTTCACCAGTTGTAACTATCATAAGTAATCTTCCTTGCCACTGATTTTTTTCTGAATGTGNGATACCCATCTCTTACCAAATATCCATCACATTCAGTTTTTTTGTCTCCCAGTTTGAGGATAAGTGTGTGTATCTGTGTCTTGGTTTTGGAAAGCAAGTGTTTCTTTACTTTTCCACTCCACTATACTGCACTTTGCCACTACTTCCACAACTGCTTCTGCTTGTGTTAGCTCTGCACAGGCTCCTTCATCCAGAGTGTGACTGCTGAGCTTATCTGCAAAGGCTCCTTCTATCTTTATGTTCCAATTATTTCTAAAATACACTGTGGTGGTATAGTAAGATGAGGTAACGTGTATGCTAATGTCAAAGCTCACCTATTGGTCTGTCTGTCCTTATATTATTAGTGATTCTCGTACCTCTGTGTAGGGAAATGCCTTAGCACAGCGGCAGTTGTCATAAAAAGTGGAGTAATGATGGTGATAATTTGAAGCTTAGTTAATGCAGCCTTCCACAAATACTGTTCAGTTTTAAAAATGTGGGAGGGTCAGTGAGACTTAAGAATAGCTGTATATGTTTCTATTTCCAGTATGCCACACTTTGCATTCAACCATCAGCACTTTCTGTTTTTTCAGATTGTATTTTCCTTGTCTCAATAGTTCATGAGGCACCAGGCAGATTCTGCAGTAGGATACCTCAAAGATCTTTAACAATTCCTGCACGGCAACCTTCCAGACATGAAACAGATCAAATTCTAAAATAAAAATTGCCTCAATAAAAAAACTAGATGAAAAAATTTGGCAAGTTTTTGGAACTAACCATAGCTTATAGATGGATTTCTGCAGTTAAAGTAGCGTAGGTGGTTTTCATTTAATATTGGTGTATGCAGTCATGACTAGAATATGTGTAGCTCAGGCTCCCCGACTGGTTCATTTTTTTTCTGGGCTTTGTGTGGTTGCAGTCACCAGCCAGTCTGTTTGTATTTAGCATTTTTTATTATCATACATGTGTTGTAGTGAACTCATTTATAAAACAATGTTCTAAGAATGCTTCTGATGAGACTGTATTCTGTCTTCCTACTGATAATAGCTAGCTCTCTGTATAGGTAGGATTTGGAGTTAGTTTCAAAGTAGGAATTAGTTTCTTACTCATCTAACACCATGTCTGTATCACTTTCAGTACCTGGGATGCAAAGCAAGGCCCGGTGAAGGATGCCTACAGCCTGGCCAACAATCCTCAGTACAAGCTGGAAGTGCAGTGTCCACAGGGTGGTGCTGCCGTCTGGGTCCTGCTCAGCAGGCACATCACTGACAAGGTGCTGGGTGCTTATTCCGTAAACCTTTCTGTAAAGCTTTCTGTTATTGGTATATTACTACTCATGTTTCATGTTCAGGTGTGTATGCCTGTGTGTGTATGTATAAATTTTAAATTCAGCAGGTACACATATCTAAAATTGAAACAGACCCAGAGTAACATTTGAGCTAAGTGGTTCTATTCCACCATAGAGGTTCTGAAGTAACTTTCAATCCTGGGGACTGAATAGGTTAAATTAGTGGCAGTTTATTTATTTCAGGCATTTTAAAAAGAATTGCATTGGGTATCTCAGTAAATATAAATATCAGGTCATATCGTGCAGTGATCAAAAGGGATGGTAGAATGTGTACTTGTCTCTGATGAAGCATTAATTTTGTTTCATAGAAGTGTACAACTCTGCTTGATTTGTGTCTGGTTGGTTTTTTTATAGGATGACTTTGCACACAATCGGGAATTCATTACAATGGTTGTGTACAAGACTGATGGCAAAAAAGTTTACTATCCAGGTTAGTGTACCTTAACTGTCAAGAAAATTATATTATAAATAAATGAGGAATTACAAAGAATTTTGTGGAGAGGAAAGGCATTTTTTGCTTTAACACTAGATGCCTCACTAAGAGGTCAATCTTATGAAATAGTTGTTTAGCTCTGATCACCTTCAACAGTCTACACTGTAGGAATAAGCTACATGTTGGAAGCACACTAAGATCTACATAGTCCTGCTGACACTTATTTTGCTGCAGCATTTTCTTTATTCTTCTGTTTATTTTGCAGTGGCAGTACTTAATGCTTAGAGGGAACAGATGCTGCGCTTCTGTTTCTCTGATAGCATAATTATTTCCTACATTTGTGAAATTATTTAAAGGTCTGCAGCTTCCACTAAATGAAAATAATCAAGGTTAATTGTCCTAAGAATTTGGCTTAATAAAGTACCTAAGCAAGCTTATGAGATTCTGGTGAACACTTCAACATATTTCCAGGAATATTTAAGAAAAATACTTATGTGTTCAAATTTTATCAAAATACCAGTCTTGGTCATTATATGTCAGATTCTACTCACCTTGAGAAGAAAGGGTTTGGCTTTTGGAGCTTTGCTGTAGCTGGGAAAAAGCCATGTATGCTTTAGTTCAAGACAGATAGCAGATCTGAAACACAGGCTGAGACACGCTGGTAAGCGTTGCATTGTTCACATCTGGTCTTGTTCAGTGAACTCTGCTGACCAGTTTCCCTAGAATCCAAGCTGTCTTTCTGCTGAAAGCATCTGTTGAGACCTGACCAAATCATCACCTGTTTTTGCAAGAGCTGATTTTGTTAAAGCATCTGCTTTTCCTTACAGCCCAAGACTTGCTTCTGGTTTTGCTAGTAATTGCAGCAGTGCTTATTTTATGTGTGTCTCACTGAAAACATTCTTAAGTGGGCAAACCAAACACATTGTGTAGTCGAGGGAATTCTGCTGTGCTTGAAAGAGACAGTCTTCTTAGCAGGATCACTAGCAAGAACTGAATGATTCATATGTTTTGTCTTGCTATCCAAACTCTTTTAAAAACTTTTAATCTCACGAGCTCAAATTTGTTTAAAACCTTTTTCCATGGAAATAGATTGGTCAAGCTGCAGTATTATTTTTAACCATCTGTTAAAATAAGATCAGAACAAAGCAGGTTAATCCTTTGGGCAGTAAGGCTGAGATTTCTCATTCCTAAGCTTCTTATTGTTTTATATTAATCCTTTCCCCTATCCCATGTTGCTTTGTGGAAGAAAATAAAAGGACCTGATCCTGGGCCTGTTGAAGTAATTGGCTAGACTTGGTCCTGCTTCACTGAAATTAAAAGAAGTCTGGAAAGAACCAATTAGAGACCAAATAACAAATTACATTGTCTAATTGTAAAAACAAACATTTAGGATGTTTCTAAGTACCACATGTGGATTGGTCCTGGGATTCAACTACATCTGTGTAATGATCACAAGGATTTGGGGAGAGAGAGAAAAAGTGTGTGTGATGTAGTCAAAAGAACATGTTTTAAGTCTTGTTTACCCAGTGGCCAAAGATTTAGGCAGCATGCATTCTGGAACTGTCCGGCCAACAGAGAAGGAACAGACACCTCAGAGATTTTTTAAGGAGTGCTCAAACATTCCTTGTCTTTCTCGTGAAATTTCAACATGATCACATGTAGGTCTTAGTTGTGAGGTTGGTGAGGCATAGATAAGCAGTTCTTGCAGATCTTGGGATTTAAGCTGTACTTTTCAAGTGGAGAATGTGTTCTGTCATGTGTGATGTACCTCTCCTGAAAAAGGCAGTTGCTCTTAAGATTCTATGTCCTTTTAATAAGTCTTGAGGCTCTGTTGTTTTGAAAGCACTCAGGTCTGTTCACAGACTAATCTCTGTAGAAGTTTACCAAGGTGGGGGATTTTTTGATCCAGAAGAGTGTTTATCCTTTTCTTTTTCAGCTGATCCTCCTCCATATATCGATGGTATTCGGATCAACAGTCCTCATTACCTGACTAAGATAAAGTTGACCTCTCCAGGGCCCCATACATTTACCTTAGTGGTGTCCCAGTATGAGAAACAAAACACTATCCATTACACCATCAGGGTATGTGCTGTTGGTTTTATAATGAATGTAAGCAACTAAAAAAACATCCTTTATTTTTAAATTTGATTAAAAAGTGTACTTCTGGGTTCATACTGCTATTTTGGGGAGGGAGGCTATGAATGATGGAGCAGAACCTCTGGATGAAGTGTTTGGTAAGGTTCTCTGTTTGTAGTTAAAACAACGTGCATGCATTTAGCAATGAAATTTCAGTAATGAAATCAGCTGAAAAATACTCTTATTTCCTAGAATAAAAAAAATCTGTGTACAGGGAGATCTTTGGCTCTTTGTGTATCCAAAATATGCCCATTTTAGATCCCAGTTAAGATTTAAAATTTTTTTGACTACCTCTAAGTCTTTGGACTTAGTATTTGGGTTTTTCTCTAACTGCTCAGTCAGGTGATGGTCAATGCTAGATATCTCTTTTTGTCACTTAAAAATAATGTTTCCATTTTGCCTTTTGTTTAAATAAAAACTAAGTAGAACTAAGTCTTGTTAGTCCCAGCACTGTTCAGGATTTTAAGTTTGCCACAGGATCGTCTGATGGGTAATACGGGCATGTAGTGAATAAGTATCTGAAAATGTTGTGTAAGCAATTTTTTTTTGTCATGATTTCATATGAAAAGTGCAAGGTGAATGTGTGACCTGCTGCTTCTTCTACAACACAGGTGTACTCCTTGTGCAAGTTCACCTTTTCCAAGATTCCTACACCTTACACCATTTCCAAGCGGGTAAAGAAACATTTTATTTTATGGGTCACTGGATAATAATTCTGGTTTGGCTTTTCCATATTTGAGATGTACAAGGTTTTTAAATGTATTTTTATACTACTTCTCCACCTTCACTGCAGAGTGTGTGGTTGCAGCTGTGCCACTGCAGACATTCTGCAAAGCCTTTGTAGAATAGACTGGCCTTTAGAACCTGTACCCTAGTAAGTCATCTCTCTGCAGAGGTCAGACTGTGCTAGTAATGCTACAGAGTAAAAACCCCACAAAAGCATTTATCGTTTCCCCTTGGGAGAATTGCATGATTTTCTTGGGAAAACTCTTGGCATGATGGGACAAAATCAGCAATGTCAAACCAAAGGCACAATAGCAAGACTGTGACAAACATACTTAAGATGGCAATATCACAATACGTACAGTTCCTAAATTTTGCAAAGACGTCTCAAAGGTCTGTCACCATTGGGATAAGCACTCCCGTTGCCAAACAGGATGAAAGCAATATACCCATGGTACATTTCACATTGAAATGCTCCCCAAAAGTACAGCAACAGGGCAAGAGTGAAAAACTTGACTGAAATTAAGTCAGAAGCCCAGGCAGTTTTGGGGCCAGCTGCTGTTCATATTTCAGCTGTCAATGTGAGCTGCAGTTACCCCTTCAGCTGAAGTATAAATATAGCCAAGAGCTCACAGGATAAAGTAACTTGCATGTATTTTCATATATTAGCAATTTTACCCCCAAGAAAGAATAAGCCAGCAGCTCTTAACTTTAGCTCTGTACCTACCATGCACACCCTGGGGAATCTACTATAATCAGAAGTCTTCTGTTCAAATAGTAACTTCTTCAGGAAGAGAGAAACAAGGGAGCTTGAGCCACAGTGGAACAGTCCATTTTCTAGGACACTTGTGCCTGAAGCCAAGGATTGCATTACTTTGTGTGGTCAGGGGCACACGCTGGCTTGCAGCAAGGCTCTCGAGTTCAGACAGTGTTCCATACCAGATGTTATTTCTGGAACAGCCCCTTGAAGCTAGCCTGTTCTGGAGAATGGTGAGTGACTAGAAAGATTACTGGGAACAGTGAGATGATTTGCTTAGTTCTTCCAAGCAACCATTTTCTTGTATAGCTTATAAAAACTGGGCTTACTTTGAGGGAGTGCTTTAAGAGATCAAAAATGCATTAAAGATACCAGTCTGTTTGAGGAAGAACATCTGTTTTATGTTGTAATATGTTTCAAAAGAAAATTAAGTATGTGGAAACCTCCTGTTAATTATTTGAAGATGTCTATCTAGTATTCAAAAAATAAAAAAGAGACTTGTTCTAGCTATCCAAGGCCAACTCTGTCTTTAATATTAAATACAAAAAGTTAGTTGTCTGTTTTTAATGCATCTTTTATGTTTGCTTAGCAGTCATCACATTTAAAAGCAAGCAGAGAATTAGTTCCAAGTTTACCAATAAAAGAAAGTTCTGTTAGATGTCCTATGCTTAAGTCGAGTGGTCACCTCTGGAGCTCCCAAGCCCTAGTGTGATTCCTGGAATTAAGTGTAGCAGAGGTAGAAAAGGGCTGGAAAGCTTAACAGCACACAGAGTTTTAGGTTCCTGGGTAGCAGCATGGTAGGGGGAGAAATCCCCCTTGCTTCCAAACTCGCTGTGTTTGAGGGTTTTAGACACTGAATAAAGAAATTAAATCACAAGGAGAAACGTTGCCCCTTGTTGGTTTGACAGAAAGGGGAGGGAAGTAACAGGAGAAATGGATCTCAGCTATAAATTTGTGTGAATGCCTGGCATGTCTTACAAGTCTAACCTTTCATTTAAAGACTAACAGGAAGAACTTGGAAACAGATGGCCTGTTTCTCAAAGTCTGAGCAGCAATTTTCCTCTTGTGTATCTTTGTCCTTGCAGAATCTATCCTTATGGTTATCTTGTCACTGCAGTGCTGGTTCTCAGAGAGCAGAGAGGTGATGGACAGGGCTGGAGGCAGCAATTTTTGAAAGCAAAGGTTACACTACCATTACTGTTGTACTTCCTGTATCACTGCTGCTTCTCATTTAGCCCAACAGAGAAGTGTCTGAGCAAAAAAAAAAATAACCTGCATAGTCTAGAAGGCATGGGATAGATGGGAATATAGATCTGTCATAGTCAGAAACAGTCACTTGTTACTTACGTAATATAAGCTGAAAAAGCACAGTACTCTTCCAAGGGATGTAAGGCTTTGATCAAGGGGGGTGGAGGACAGCAGTGAAACTCTGAATACTTAACATGGTCTTTCACTTCTCTTTAAAAATTAGGAGAGCTTACTAAAGTCAGTGACCTCTAAAGTGAGAGGAGTCTCTGCTCTTGTTTGTGTGTTTATATAAGCAATACAAATCCTCAGGATGTATTTTCTGTACTTTTGACTTCTTTCAGGTTAATGGACAGTGGAAAGGTCACAGTGCCGGAGGATGTGGAAACTTCAGAGACACCTACAAAAATAACCCCATTTATCAAATCCAGCTAGACAAGAATGGACCATTGCTAATTGAACTACGGGGACCGAGGTTTGTAGAGCATAAGCATGCATCAACACAGTGAGAGCATTACAGCTAAAGATAAAGCTTGGTCAGTGTCCTCTTGGGGGGAGGGTAGGGAGCTCACAGAAAATCCAGAAAACAAGGTATCAGAGCTGGCTTGAATTTAATACTATTTACGTTTCTATCTTCACCATCAATAGTGTTTTAAACCTACATGTTTACTACTGAAAGAAATCCTTGACCTACAAGGCAAGCAGGAGCCTTCCTTTCTCTATAGTTTTGGGGTCTGAGCAGAGCTAGGCCTTGCACAGAAGGGAAGAAGGTATAAAGGGCTCTTTCTCCCTCTTAAAACTAATTACGATCATAATTCCTTTTCTTTTTTAGTACAGCTACTATGCAGGATACTAAACCCTTACAAGATCTCAAACATCTCTGAAAGTGCATTTACTCTACCACTAGCAGGCCAGGAGAAGTATTGAGTCTCAATGTCCTATGAAGTAGACCTATGCAGGTCAAATTCCTTTGGCAAAATTAATGATTACCTCAAAACACCAGTATTCAGAGCTTCTGAATAGCAACATCTCCTGATCTGCAGTTAAACATTTATCTTTTGCAAAGCTGTACAGTGGGGCCCACAAAATGGCAGCACTTTTCTATCCATCCTCCCCTCTTTGAGGAAACTCCTTCTCTCATGAAATGAAGATGAGTGCAGAGGTGTGGCTGTGCTGTTCCATGAATTGAGCAGTTTTTTGTATGCATTTTTTTCTGTACTTGCAGATCATATTTGGGTAGTTTGAACGGCAGGGGCAGTGATGCCTGTCACATGTGTTAACAGGTAGTAGACAAAGTGTCACAAGTTATATTGCAACATGAGAAATTCTGCTGAGATGACTGACACCGAGTCCTCCCATAGCGATCAGATCACACCCTAGGATCTGTGCCACGTGGCACAGGAGTGTGTCTCCACAAGTTTAACTACTTGAAGTCTGCTTAAATGCAGAGGCAGGCTTCTAGCAGGCATTTTCCCTGTAGTCTAGTTCCAGACCTGAGTTGTGTTCTGTCTCCCTCCAAATTCACTATTCATATCATGGTAAGTTTGACTTGACGTTTCTGTCACAAATGTGACAACACTTTTAGATGTCTTTGTTATACTGTGAAGGTTTTAATAAATAGCCCTCTTTGTGGTAATCCTGATGACCCAGATACATGATGTCTGTCATGTCACCTGCAGGCAATACAGCGTTGGCTTTGAACTCGTCACCGTCTCAACAGTAGGAGATGCTGGTTCCTGTGGCTTTCACAAAAAGAGCAGTGGTGACTACAGGTAATAATACTCAATGAAATCTGTACAGAGGTTTGAAATACTTCAGATCTTATTTCTAACAGGTAGTTTTCTTTATCATAGGTGTGGATTTTGCTACTTGGAAGTGGAGAACATACTTGCTGGAGTTTACAACATTATCCCCACCACATTCCTGCCTCAACAAGAGGGTCCTTTTTTCTTAGATTTTAACAGTACTACTCCTCTTAAGGTGTCCCAGCTGCAGTGAGGAGACATATCTGTGCAGTACTGTTTAAGGAAGTGGTTTTGATCTGTCCTACAGGCTGAGAACAGGTGAATAACCCTTCCTACACATATGCACAAAAGAAAATTACATTCTAAGTTATAGCCAAAAGCATGGAATCACTGATTGCCACTTACTTGTGGTAGGCAGTTAGCTGTGGGGTTTGCTGCTATGGTACTGGAGGGAGCACTGTTCAACAGGCTTGGGAATAGGCTAAAATGCATATATTCAAATGAACCAGCAGAACTCAATTTATTGCAATTTTCCCACGCTTTGAATCAAAGTCCAGTGAGTTAGGAGAAAAACTAACACTGAAATTCTCTTCTCCCAAAATACAGGGTATATGGGTTAAAGATTTTATTCTTAAAAGTAAACATGTAAGAAAAAATATTCTTGTGTATTTCTGCTTATTCAGTCTCAGGACCAAATAGCTTTTACTACATATTTGTGCTGCTACCTTGAATGTTTGAAGCACTGAACTGGTTATCACCTCTAAATGTAAATTTACTACTGCTGAGCATGTAGTAGTCCATGTGCCAACTTATCTGGAATATGTATATAGGAGTAAAGGAACTATTTCTAAGAGCTTCGCTCATGTTACATGTACTTTGAGAACTGTTAGTTCATATCGGTGTGACTTTAGTACATAAAACAGCACAAGGTTCTCTGTGGTTTTCTTCCTACCAGCTGCCAGACCTAGCTTGATCCTGATCAGCAGTAAGGACAGGGGGTTATCCAGCAGCAGCATACGGAGAATGCGGCATAGACTTCCTTGAGCAGGTGTGAAAGATTTTCATCTGAAGATCCCCACAGTCTCAGTTGCTGGTGGGGAGATGGGAAACTGCCCACCATCAGAAACCCAGCAAAGAAATGTTTTATTTTCATCACTTTTATAAGTACTCAGCCTATAGGGAAGGATTAGTTAAGCCTCTCCTGCTAATAAACCACAGCTGCAGGGAATGCACTTGCTGATTCCATTATACCAGACATCTTTGAAAAGGTACTTTTTTCCTTGTAAGTTGAAACCAGTGGATGAATTGAGCACTTGGCCACTGTCATCAACAAAAGCAGGGTTAGAGTTTCTAAGAAAATAGTGGAAGTGGGATTAATGCAGAATGAGATTTTTCTAGAAGCCTCCTATATGAGCTCCTCCTCTAGATCTGTATACATTGTATCTAAAGAGGATTCAAGATAACCAAATTTTCAATTTAATACCAACTGCCTCAGATCCTGAAATGCATTAAATTTTGTCTTTTTTACAAAATGTATAATATTTGACAGCTGGGGGGGAGGATGTTTTTAAAACAGCCACGGGAATTTTGCTGCCATTCACATTAGTTTGCCAGTTTTCCAATCAAAACAGGTAGCATTTAAATCTTGCTTTAGAGCACAGGTGTCACTTGGCCATTGGGAAACTGAGCACACATTCTACAGGAGCACCAGAAATATCTGTGGGCTAAAATTACTCCCACAGAGGTCTGCTATTAGTCCTCTCCAGAAAGTACAAGATTCTTTTGTTTCGTTTCCTTCATCAGACAGCTGCTTAACAAGTGTCTAGTGCTGAAAGGGCACTGATAGCTCATGCCTTTGAAAATATGTCCTGCTGACTGCAGTTCTCTCAAAGGCCATCTGGGATAGGAAATTTGGGACAGGTTTGTCACAGCGTGACTTACCTTCTTTTGCAGGGAAGTTTCTGCATGGGCACAAGCTGAGCAAAGAAATAGATTACGTTCATTGTAGTTACCCCCTGGCTTCTGGAGTATAGGTCAAGGACAGCTTCATCCCTACAAAATGAAAATTTCATTCAGCTCACATTTTCCCTACAGATTTCTGTGAAGTTTTTAGCTCACGCTAAACCAGAATCGCAGTGGAGTCCTGCATGTATCTTATCACCTGTGACATTAGAGGTAGTTAGGAGTCCCAACTGAGTATCTTTTTGGCAGTACAAAATGCAGATCCCAGAACTGCCAGCTTTCAGTACCAAGTTCTTGCAAATTCTCTGCTGTTTGAGATCAAGCTGGTAGACTTGCCTACAGTAAAATCTGTTGTTGTTCTTCAGTAGTTGGTTTCTACTCAGCAGAAAGGAGTTTTTCTTTCTTTTTCCCCCTGAGCACAAGCTACTGCCAAGCTTATGCTGCATGAAACGAGCATAAGGCTCAGCTTCCATACTGTGCTGAACTAAAACTAAACTCAACTAAAAGCAAGAAATGTACTCACTGTCTGGCATTAAGGACAAAGTATCCTGTCCCAAACAGGATGTGCTGATATTTCTTATATATACAGAAGAGTCAGGGGATTTGGCTTATCTTAAATCCCATACATAAATGGAGACAAGTGTCAATCTTATTAATATAAAACAAATCCTGTTCAAATATTGCACCTGCATAGGCTACTAGAATGCCATCACTGTGCATTTCCTTTAAATATAGGACAGAACACTCAGGTGGACTATTTAAGAGGAACTGCAAAATATTCTTATAAATTCTAGTCTACAGATTCTGGTTGTGGCAAATTGATTTTGCAACAAAGTTTTCTTGCCATTTTGTCTTAGGAAAAAATGTTAGTGTAAGCGTTTATGATTTGCTTTCATATTTTCTGTCAAATATATACTTTAATATTTGTTCCACAAATAAATCTGGAAAACTTATTGGAAAGTGAAGATTTTAAGACAACCTCAGGCCACAGTCTAAGTTAAGCTTTTCTTTCCCCTATACTGTTTAGCATTTTTTGATCTGTGACAGAGAACATGAGGTGCTGGGTTACGCAGCAAGACTTCTGGAAAGGAATAAGACCTGTGAATGCAAAAATTTAAATAGCTGCCCAACAGAGGTATATTGGATTTGTTATTTTACTTCCAGTTAGACAGTCATGCACCTCTTGATCCTTAAGTCTTCTCTGCCTCTAAACATACAATTCAAGCTTTTAAACATTGAAATACAAGGCCTCAGCAAGCATCCTGCACTCCTAAGTTGATTGTCACACAGGGTACAGTTCTGAACTACGGCTAGAGCCACAGATGAGGGGGTAACTGATGAAATGGAGGCCAGTTGCTGTAAGGGATTTTAAGAGGATTTACACATTTTCTGATTCATTAAGGGAAGACCACTACAAAGAAATGACTTTTAACTCTCTGTCAGCAGTGCAGCAGAATAACTGGATATAGCCTCTTCAGAAGTTTTAACGTTCTCTTTACTTATGCATTGCAAAGCCTTTTCTGTGTATTCCTTTAAAAATCCTACTTTAAAGCTCCACACAAGACCCCATGATGCTGCTGTTTATAGCTCAGGTTGAGACACCCCTCCCAGTTTATTTTTTTTCAGGAAGACACAGGTTAGACCTTGGTTAACCCAATCCCTTATTCTCAGACTCAGTGAGAGGTAGTACCATGGATGAACGGTATCAACAGCTTCTATCCCATCTGCCCCATGACACTGCAAGTGTCCTGTAACTACTTTGTACAGTAATTATGCACTTAACCACACAATCTCCATGGTGTTTGAACAGCCAGCTATTTAGAATTAAGTTTGTGTACATATAGTAGAGGTTTTCATTGTTTCAAAAAGGACATATAAATTGTTTGACAATACCAAAGAGAAGCAGAATTCCTAGGTTAACATTTGCTTCATACATTCTCATATCAGGGCAGCTGAAGTGATCACGTATACTTTGATACAGCAGAGGCTTATTTTTATACCCATGGAGGCAGCTACCATCATGTTACACTTCAGAATCCTTTAAGAGCTCCAACAGAAAAGTAACTGGAGAAAGCTTGTTCATTGGCTTGTAATCCATAGCAATGTTTGTTCATTTAAAAGTCTGTCATATTTATAATTATGGCTTTTATGAAGTTTAAAATAAAATGAGTTTTCCATTAATTTATTACAGACACACAGTTCTGCCTGTTTGCTTGTGTGTTTGAAGGGTGATTTACCTGCTAAGTCTGGAGGTCGCCAAAGGAAGAAGGCTGCAGCATGGTCTTTCAACAAATCTCATGGAAGTGTGGTGTAAAAGTAAGGGCAGGGTGGGTTCCACGCACTTTTGTACTTCCTCATCAATGGTTTTACCCTGCTTGGAGCTGAACCCAATCAGGACATAGCAAGGCAGTGCACACACAACTATTTTTATATCCTGATGGAACACAAAACTAATTTGTTGCCTAAGTGCAGAGAGTTTGGGTTTCTAGTCAGAACTGGCAAAATGAGAGGAAATGCAATAGCAAGAGAGGTTAAAAAAAAAAAAAACAAACCAGAAAAAGGAAAAAAAAATCACCACCAAAAAACCATCCAGACAACCTAGGAAAATGTAACTGGCATTGGCTGGGAGGTCTGCAAAAGTAAGATTCAACCACAAATACCTCTGCAAATTTTTCTAACTGAATACAGCACAGACAATAGGTCAGCTACAAAAGTTTAAGTAAAAACATTTAATGCAATGTGGCACTTCTTACTGCTCTTCATTTCATATTTAATACTGCCTACCCCAGCTTTTCCCCAAGTAAAGGTCACATCAGAAGATGGAACCACAGACTTCTTTCCTAAGCACTTTTTGGGCCTAGGAACTGCTGGCAATGGAAGATTTCAGCCTTCAAGTCTTCGGAAGATGTGAACGTATAAATGTTTAAAGCTACTACAGCGTAACAGTTATAATGTGTTGAATCTATTTTTTATGAAAACAGGATTCTTTACCTCCAATTCTGCACGGCCTTACAGCCAATTTCAGCAGCATTAGGTACAGAGGTGTTGTGTAACAGAATACCTCCCTCCTTCAGCACAGTAAGGGATTTTGGAAAACCTGACTAAAGCTCTGGTCCTGTGGCACAGTTCAGAATAAAAAGTGAATCATATATGCAGAGATTCGGGAAGCTGGAAAGAGGCAACAGTTGCCCATGTACCTCAATGATGATAATACCAGAGTTACTCCAGACTGCAGTCTTCAGCTGGAAGTGGATATTTGGAAACTAAACTTGCTGCACAAGAAGATTCGGTTCCTAGAGCTTTGGATAAACTTCACTTGCACAGACTCAAAATGTGGAAAACAAAAATGTTTACTGTAGTGTGAAGAATTTTACATTAACTTTGAGAATAGATACACAAGCTGTGGCAGGGATGAAATACAACAGGACTGCAAAAACATAGAATAGAAAATACTTTGGGCAATACTAAAATTCCCATCAAATTAACAATATAAACTGACATTTTAGATAAAATGGTGCTTTCAGAAATGCTTAGTCACCAAAACTGAAGAGTCCTAGGATTTTTTTTACTACCACTTATTAGCATAATTATCAGACACTACTACTGTCTAACAGCTGCTGTCAAAACATTCCCGTGCCCTTTCTAGTTTTACTGAACACTTTCTCTAGGGCATACTAAAATCCCAAGTCCCTTTAACAGTTATAAACCCCCACACAGTACAACCTACGGAGAAGCTTAAGAACACATTGTCAATCTACACTGGCAATTCCTTTTCTTCATGCATATTTCAAGGGTGAATCCCTTATCATAGCTGTCTGGAAAACATCTATGACTCCCATTTTTGAGGGAAAAAAAACCCCAAACACTTAAAGTGCTGAAAAATAATACTTCACTTCTCAGGGGAGGGGAAGGGCAAGGGGCCAATCAACTCTTTTTGGTCACTGGAATCACCCACAGAGTCCAAGTCAGACTCGGGAAGGTGTCTAGAAAGGGCCTACCTCTGCTTGAGCATTACCATCCCCTTTCTGTCATCCGTCTGTTTTATAGGCTTTTATAGGCATGATTCATTTTATCCTTTCTGTGAGCACCAAGGGAAGAGTGAAGGCTTTCAGACCCCACACATGCAACAGCTTTCCTGTATACAAAATACTTCTACAGTTTCAGCATAATACAGACAAATACAGATGTTTAAAGAATATGCCACTTGTACTCAAGAGATCAGCTGTATCTAAAGAGCATTTCATTCTACAAAACCGAAGCCAAACCGCTTTCTGCAAATGTCTGGCTTGAATTTCAGACCCCCGACTGGCATGAATTTACAAGGGAACATTACTAGTTATTGCTTCAGCCAGGCTGCTACAAAACAATTTACAAAGTCTGTGAAATATGAGCACAGCTTAAACATTTGATAACTCGTCAGGCCTACAAAGGGTTTACTGAATAAAAACTTCAGCCCTCCACATCAATTAAACTTCTTAGTGCATTTTTAAATTCTCAGAGTAAACGCTTAAGATTTGGCATATATTATTGGCACAACGTTCTTCAAACACTTAGAAGTTCATGTATAAATATTTAGACTCCCATTAATCAGGACAGGGCACAAGAAGGACTCAGCCAATCTGGGCAGCTTTTCTGCCCGCGCATATTCCCTCTTTGATTTTCATGCACTGAAGGGAGAGCTGCTTCATTCGGTTATCCAAAGTCAGCCCTTCAGTGGAGCTGCTCCTGGTGCTGCTCCTGTTCTTGTTCACTCTGTCGCTCGTCTTGTTCTCAGCCCCTTCTGCCCTATCTCCTGCAAAGAAAGGATTAAACTGGATGTTAAACCCAGATTTCATTCTGCACGTTAAGCTTCAAGCATCTCTGCAGTCTCCTTTGCCAAAGCGAGCAAAAATTACAGGAGCAGGAGCAAAATGTTGCTTGTGCACTGCGTCAGCAAATTAATCAACACAGCTTTAGGCTGGAGCACACAAGAGTGATGGTAATCCTTTAGTCTGAATTAGTCAGCTAGGGCTGGCAGAGCCTGCAAGAGGTTCCTTTTGGCACATTATTTTTTGTGAGTTTTTTTTCTTCCCCTGGAAAGCAAGATTTTCAGCAAGCGAGACAATAATTTTAAAAAAATAAATAAATGAATTCAGATTTTCCTTCAAATAAGCGTACCATCAGAATCCCACTGAACACTTATTTCGTGAGAAACCTCCATCCCCTCCACTAAGACAGAACTGGGGAACATTTCCAGCCAGGAGAACAATAATTAAAATGCTTTAGATGTCACCGTTAACTTTGAGACAAGGGGCCCTCAAGAACTGCCTTCCCCAAGGAAGACGCCAGTGGGTCAGAGCTCAGTGAGCTGGCACACACCTAGGGGAGCTGAGAAGGTTTTCCTGCTCCCTTTATAAGACTGAAAAACATTGGCCCAGGGCGTATCCAGCCGTGCGTACCTCTTTCAGCTTCGCACTCGGGGGAGGACGCCCCGCTGCATTCGCTTCGGGGGCCGAGGACAGGAAAGATCATCCCAAACTCAGAGAGGGATACAGGGCTGGGCAGATCCAGGCTTCCAGGTCGTGTCGCAGGAGGAAACTGAGTGGGCACCTCACAGGGACTTGTAGGACCAGAGCTGAAGCTGGATACTGACTGAGTTTCTGAATCTTCTTCGGATACAAAGCTGCTTCCATTATCATCCTCAAACACTTCTGAAGCCACTGCAATGTTCAGAGAATATTCCAGTTAGTAATCGTACCCTCTCTCTTGCACCTTCACAAGCACAGGCAGTTTCTCAGGTTTCCACCTTCTACTGCTCCTCATGCCAAGAAGCTCTTGGATTTTTACTGGCCCTGCTCCCCCTGCCCAGCTGGTCTTGTGCTCTCGTGGTCTTCACTACACAAGTTAGGCCAGGGCCTAATCCCCTGTGTCTGCCTCACCCAGCATCATGATCCTAGCAGAGACTCCCGGTTATTTAAGGCACTAATTACAAAGACATAGCTCCCAGGGCAGATTGCTTCCACCTTATCTTCACACACTTGCAGTTAAAATCCAGCACAAACTCCCAAGATCTCTTTTTGCATGAGGATCACCAAGCAACATCAAATTAAAAAAAAAACCCCACCCACATATATTCTTTTCCCTGTTCATATTTGCTCAAATCTGAGTTCTAATTAAAGCAAACCAGCTCCGAGCTGTCTGGATTAAGCTGCAGGGTCTTTATTAGCAACCAGAGGAGAAACCCGTTAAAGAAGATTCCATTTTGTGCAACACAGGGGTGTACATTTTGCTAAAATTCAACACACTTCAGACGTGGCTCACTGCAGGATGGGGACCTATGAACCAAAGACTTTCGCACACAAGTAGTCCCGCTGGGATCAGAAGGTCCTTTACATGCATCAGACTCTCCACAAGAGAAGTGTGTGCTGGAATCACACTGGCCTGAAGATGTCCTACAAAGAGCAGGACATGTCCAGTGATCTGAGGTTATCTTCAATTCTGCCTCCTTCTGATTCCCACCATTGCTAGTGAGGCTCAGAACCGCCTTGGAAGAGCAGCAGAAGCAAAGAAGCAGCATTAACAAAACGGCTCAAAGGAGAAGTTTCAAAGTAGTTCTTCTGTTACCCCGGCAGCCCAGGGCTCACATGCACCACTCGGACACAAAAGTGCCAGAGGCAGCCACCAATATACGGTTATTGCCAAGATGTTCAGCCTCTTTCTGCTGGATCTGCAGATTGCAGAACTGTACTTACACCTTGCAGAATTGACCTAAAAGACTTCAAACATAAAATGGATAACAGCATTATTCACCTTCCTGAGCCCCCTCTAGGGCACTTTGAGCTCAGAGACAGTTTTTCTTGTGGTTTTGTGCTTTATTTTTAATGATGTTAAATACAAGACTGCGGAGTGGCCTTCTCACTTACTGTATTTTATCAATATATGGTGAGCAATACAGATAACTTTGCAGGGGGTGAAAGCAAAGAAAGGTGGGGAAAAAAGATGTTTCCAATTAGAGAGTCCTCTACTTGGCGAGAAGCACTGACATCAGCCAGTCTACAAGCAGCACAGCTCAAACTGTAGCTTACTTTTCACCATCTAAACTTACTGTAAAACACAGGAGCATCTGAAAGGGCCAAGAAACTCTTGCTGATGACAAGGTGTTTTATTCAACTCCGGCAGACAGAAATCAAGATATAAAAGGACCTTGGTGGATACCTCCCTA